AACCCTAACCGAATACGCTGCTGGCCCCGAGATCTTCTAGGGTTTGACCGAGGACCGAGGTCTGCCGTCGAGATCTCACAAATTTCGACCAAAAAACACCAAAAACTTGCCAAAAACACGAATTTTTAGGTTTTTTTAATGCCAAACTCGATCTAAACTCTAAAATATTGAAGAACATGAAGAAAAAACGGCCAAAATTTTGTCAAAAATAAATCAAAAACGCCAAGAAGCTCCAAGAAAAACCGTTAATATTTTCCAATAACCCGATTGATACCAATCCTTAGCTCTGATACCAATTGTAATACCCCAAATCGCTATGTATCAATCGGATTCACTATGATGGTGCGGAATCCCAATCAAGTGAATGATGCAAAATGTGATATAGAATAAAGAACACAAGAGGAATCTTCAATGTACACTATATTGATGATAGTTTGGTACATAAGATTCTGATTACACTTGGTTTTCTCTCTGTTTCTCTGCAAATCACATCATCAGTTTATTGCAACACCCAAAAACGTCTCTCACCCTTTACAAGGCTGAAATAACACTATATATACCTAGACCAAATAACAAGGCCCAGCCCAAAACCCAACAAAAACAACATTAAGCCCAACCGAAATAACCAAAGGCCTAACCGAAATCACATGTGATTTCGGTCCAAACACCACCGAAAACATGTTGTTTTCAGTCCTAGACTGAGAACTCTAATATCTATGAAAAGCAAAATATAAACCACAATTTATGACCTAACATGAAAGACAACTAGCATCCTACATACATAAATTTGGTGAGCCGACATTGGTGCCTTCGACTCACGAGCACCGGGAGAAGACTCACTTGAATCGAAGAAACCTGAAACACTACGACACGATCCATATTCTGCACTGCTCGCACCCGCGAAACCACTAATACCAGAACCAGATAAAATCTTAATTAATAACCCAAAACCCTCAAGTTTGACCCAAGGTCAAACTTGGTCAAAACGTCAACGGTCAACGAAAATCAAAGTCAACAATTCAACTTCAGGCTGAGTACGCCCAGCGTACTCAGCTCATACGCATGGCGTACTCACCATCTAGAATCGAGACCCTATACGAGTACGCGCTGCGTACCCGAAGGTACGCCCGGCGTACTAAGCCAAAAAGGCACTTTTCCATTAAGTGCTTAATCTCTTAGGTCTTTTCATCCAACAATTAGATCTAGTTCCACAACATCATTCTAAGTCATAAAGTTTCCACCTTTATGACTTTCCATGTCTAGAAAAGGTCCAAAAGCCAAAACCTTAACTTATTAATCCATTAAGACATCATGACACTTTCATGGAAGGTATAGAAGGATCAAGATCACATTTTTATGGATCCTAAAAGCTCCATAATGGATAAAGTTTCCAACTTTATCCATTAGAATGGTCCAAACCACCAAGATCTAGCCTTTAAGCATCAAAGGGACCAAAAGTGCATCTTTTTCAACTTAATCCATTAAGTCCAAGTCTCCAACCTTCAGATCTGAATCAAAATGATGTTTAGATTGATAAAGTTTCCAACTTTATCCATAACAAGATCACAAACTTTCAAAATCTAAACTTTATGCACTAAAATGACCAGAAGCTCATAACATCCAAAACTAGCTAGATCTAACAAATGCATCATCAAGATTCAAACTTTATACCTCTAGAAGATAGATCAAGGTAAACAAAGTCTAGATCTACAAGCTCCAATGCAACCAACAATTCTCCAAGAAGTTCATTCTTCTCCAAGGTGCAACATGCATACTCCAAAGCACTCAAAAACACCTTCTTTTAGCTCACAAGGCTCAACTAGGGTTAGGGTTTCATGGAAGGGGGGTTGGAGAGGTGGAGGCTGAGAATGAAGTGGGTTTTGGGGGAGTTAAGGAGCTTAAATAGGGATCAAACCACGAAAATAGGGTTTTACCACTGATCGAGTACGCCCAACATACTTTTGGTATGCCCGACATACTCAGGGTGCCCCAGTACACCCATCGTACTCCCCTATGTACGCCCAACGTACTCAGCTTAACCCAAAACCGTCCAAAATTCAAACGGTCATAACTTCTTCGTTTTAACTCCGATTTCGACGTTCTTTATATCACAGAAAGGTATTGAGGAGCTCTACAATCCTATCTAATTACTTTTGACTTAAAACTCATCGAGTTAAAATCCATAATTCATAAAAGAAGTATGAAACACTACTTTTCCATTTTACCCTTTGACTTCAAAGCGCAAACCAAACTATTGGATCACATATCTACATTACCCACATCCAAATGGGCCTAAACCTCTCTTCCCCCAAAGCCCGAAGTCTTATGATACTTGATCTTCGGGTCATGACCCCGAATTGTGAAACGACTCGGAACAGGGTGTTACACAGTGTTTGATAGAAGAAATCAAGATAGAAGAAAACTAAGTTAAAGAGACAAAATCAAAAACAAAAAAATGAGTAAAAATTAGAGAAGTTCAAACCTAATGCTCTCCATTCGGTTTGAAGTAGATAGTTTAAGAGGACCTTTGACTATAGAGTATTGAGAAGAGAAAGAGACACATGATCAACGTCGGATTATAAATGATTTAAAGAGGGAGATAGAAGGTTGGAGATGATAACGGAGTAATTGATGTGTATCCCAAATAACTAGGGACTAACGAAAATTTCAAATTTGAACTGAATGCCTACCAAACTGACACGTGACAAAATGCTTAATAACATGACACGTGTCAAAGAGAAATTATTCTTTTATTATATAGGGTAGATACTTTTCCTAATTGTAAGCTACATAATTGTTAAAAGGTTCAATAGATTAAAACTTAATGAAATGATTAAACTAAAAAAAATAATTAAAAATTAATGACTAACTTCTACAATTAAATAATAAACAACTTAATCTGCAAAATTACTAGTTAGTTGTTAAATGATGACATCAACCTGGACCTATTGGATACACTCATACACATAAACATAGATAGTAAAAAAATATACATACGAGGGAGGTTTTGCATTCCTTACCCAAAAAAAAACAATAAATGATTTAAACTATAAAATAACAAATATTACATGATTTACTAATAAGAAGCTCTTTAGTAATTCTAAATATTTATTAGTTATTAAGTATAAATATTACAAGTAGTTGGACTAAATAGGGACATCAACCCTCGTAATAGAATGGCAAATATTTTTGTCATATAGTAGAATGGTGGTAGTTTGGATTGATAGGTGGTTATTTTACTTAGTAGAAATTGATTAGATGATGAGACATTTTGGCTACCTTAAGAGAGTCATAGTTACTCCCTCCGTTTACCCGCACTTTGTTGAATTTCTTTATTTTGACATTTAGAGCACTGTATAAAATAAAGATTGATTTTATACAGTGGGCAATCAATTTGCTGGTAAAGGTTAATCCCTCTTAAAGTACGTTGTTTAATTTGGAGAGCCTCATTGGGCAAATTACATGTAGTTGATATTTTGGTGTATAGAGGTATTAGCCTTTCCAACACCTTATGTCCTCTATGCAACAAAGAGAATGAAACAACCGATCATCTGCTTATCACATGTGAGTACACTCAAGTTGTTATTGATTGGATATTCAAATGGTGTGGTATTCAAAACAGGAGCTTCCCAAATGTTAGAGAATTCATTGATTATGCAGCTACCTGGGAACTGTCCTAGGAAGAAATTGATCCTAAATATGGTGTTCTACTGTCTTATCTGGAATATTTGGCTGGCAAGGAATGACAGGGTCTTCAAAAAAATTGGTGTACCCCCGACAAAAATTGTTGACACCATCATTTCTCTATCATACATTTGGTGTAAACATATAGGTAATATAGGATGTGGAGATTGGATAAACTAGATTATTTCGCCATTCTCACAATTTTTGTTGTAATTTTGATTATCTTTTTCCTTTGTATTGTACTTTTTGATCGCTTAGCTAGTTGCTTGCGTTGCTTTGCTATTGATTTATTTGATGCTTCAAAAAAAAATAGAAATTGATTCATCTATATAATAAAATATAACATCCTTCAAGTTATCATGTAAGTTGATGAAAAATATATTATATATAGATGAATCAACTTTTTAAATAAATATTCATTTTCCGCTTGGAATGGCCATAAATATTATACTATTTTCTTATAAATTATTTATATTATATATCCATGTTAAGTTTCTATTTATTGATAGTTAGTAATACATAAAACACATAATGACAAATATATCTTTGATATTTTTGAAATGAAATAAACATTAAATACACTATTTTACTTATTTGCTATATTTAATTATTATTAATGTAATAAACATTAAATACACTATTTTACTTATTTGGTATATTTATTTATCATTAATGTTGACGAGTCTTATGATTAATAAGTAAAGATATTAAATTTGTTATTTTTTATGATTTGATAGGATTCTTATATTCTACTTTATCTTTTTCGTTATAAATATTCAAAAAGAGTTATTAATTACAACATTTATACATAAGAATTATAAAAATAAAAGAGATAAACTATATATCATATAAAATATTTGATCATATTATAACAAACTTTGATGGGATTTTTGTAATGACATGGTTTTTGAAAGTTAGTTTACAATTTTAGTTAAATTTCTAATCATTTATAATATTTGTAAAAGCTTAAATCATTTTTTCTTCTATGGCAACTAGTGACAAAAGAAGTAATTAATTCTAGTTGTTTAATGATATTAATTAAATCATAAATATATAAGGTTTAGGTTGTAAATTCGAATATCTTTAAACAATTTGTTGCAATTATAAAAATTAATGATGACCTAATTTAAAAAGTCATCAACATTCATTTTTGCATTAAAATTTATATATAGGAAACAAATCTTAAATGTCAAAGGATCCTATGAGTTAACATTGTCTATATAATGGTAATAAAATGAAAAACTAACAATACATAGACAAACAATTGCATACCTACGATACATTGCTTTTTCTATTCAATTCATTAGAAATCGATAATGAAACGAACATTCCTTGTGATCTTTTTATTTTTTGTTTCAGGTGAACACCTCTTTCTATGTGTACGGAAGTCATTTTCACCTTGCTCTTAAAGTTTTTTTTTTAATAGAAAAAAAGAGAGAATTAAGAGTGATTAAAAAGGAAAAATGTGTACATAGCTTTTAAAGGGATGAAAAGAAAGGAAATTCTAAACATATGTTTTCTCCCCTCAAAATCATGTGTCCAATTTTAGGCTGATTAGTGAAGAAAACAAAAAATTCTCTTTCTTTTCTTTTCTTTCTAACCCGAAAAAGACTAATTAAATTCTTTTTACCTTCTCTTCCCTTTCCTTTTCATAATTTTAAAATTCAACGAATACGGTGTTTATGCATGTAATGAAGTACATGAATTAATGAATTAGTATGCAAGCAATTTGAAGTGTTTATATATATATATATATATATATATATATATATATATATATATATATATATATATATATCGTCGTGTGTGTGACTTAACATTTATGTTTTTCTAATTTGTATTACAGGTTTGAAGGACGTGACTTCCTATTCACAAGATGCGGTTCCAGAATGTAAGAGTTTCTTCGATTGCATTCATCATGATTGCGGAAGATTTGGGACTCCTATTTGCCTCCGTCATCATTGTGTTTGTCTAGGTAATGGTGAACAAAAGTATGTACCCCCGCATATGCAAATCGATAAAATTGTATACAAATAATGTCAAAATGCAAATATCGAGTGGAAAAACAAAATTTAACGATTAATATGAACTTTTTGATTATGCAACTTGAATCTTATTTATATTTGTGTTTGTGCATAAACAAACTAATGTTATATCATTTATGTGGCATAATGAGTGTTTTATTTTTGTGACCTATATTCAATGTGATATAACTTTAATGATTATAATAAATTAAACATATGACAATATAAATGAGTTATATATCATGTACATCATGAATGTTGACATACAAATTTGACATTGTATCGCATACATGGAAATTTCTTTTAATGTGTTTTGCAATGATTTATGAGCAAATTAAAAAAAATTAATTATTTTGATCAAACGTGTTTTTGTTACATATCTTTGTCAAAAAGTAGCTATATTGAGTTTTAACATCTTTTGACCGACTTGCAAACATACTTGTCACGATTTGGCCTAACAATGCCACATCAGGATTCAAGACTACCATTGTTGGGTTTTCTATGCATCAACACAATCTATCTAGACAACGGAAACAATCAAAGATTTACTTTAGTGTACATGCACCATAGGATCTAAATTTCATACTATTATTGCTACCCTATGAAAACATAAAACATAAGGAAAAATTATATCTCTTATGTAGCCCTTAAGATCTTTTCCTCCTCGAAGTTTCTTGGATGAGAGGACCCAAACCAGAATCTCTCTAATGGTATCACACCTAATGACACCAAAGAGTGGAATAAAAATAACCCTGTAACGTCAAAACCATAGTAAAAAATTTCCACTTTTTTAAAAGAGTATAAACCATTTTTTCATAAAACATAAATCACCAAAAACATTGTTTCACAATCATATCATAAATTCAGAGTATCAAAATCATAGTATCTCTCAAAACATAACAACCACTGGATGATGTGTATTGTCACACATTCGCCTTGACCCGATCCTCAGAAGTACCTTAAACATTTAAATTCACAACCCACAATACCCCACATAATAATACATATACAATGCATGTACACCAGGCCTACAACACATGGCTGGATCGCTCCCGAGCCTACAGCCTATGCTTGGACCGCACTCTCCTGAGCCTACAATATCAACTGGACCGCTCTCTAGAGCCTATAACATGTAGTTGGACCACTCCTTTTGGGTCTACAGTAACAACTGGATCGCCCGGGTATCTTGGCCTACAATACAAAGCAGAACCGCCTCATCCCAGCCACAATATGTCGACATATGCAAATACCATAATAGGCAAACACATGTAATCATAACAAATCTACCAATCTAACATATCACTACATCATATCAACATCCTAAAACACAAAGGATACGTACTACAATATAAAGTATAGTGAGAAAACTCACCTCACAGAAGACCAAACAGAACCACGGCTCACGCAGAAGTAAAGACCGGAACTACGAACTACATATGCATAACTTAGAGTCAAATCCTCAGCCTACAGTCTAGAACCCTCGTGTCTGACCAAAAAAAGTCAACTAGGACAAAAAGTTAAATGTCGAGTCATCACGTCGTGGCCAACATCGTGGGAACGTCGTGGTGGCTACATGCCAAAACAGTTGCGATGACACTGGCTACCAAGTCGTCCCAAGCAACTCGCCATGTCGTGGGAACTAGTTCCAACGACTTAATGGATTAAGCTCTTAACCCTAAATCTCCAGAGCTCAAAAGCTCAGATATGTTCCTTCCAAAGGTCTTGATGGATACAGTTTCCAACTTTATCCATTAAGTTATCCCAATAAGTCAAAATCTCTAAACATGAGTTCTTAATGGATGCACCAAAATCATGGACACCAAACGAAGTCATGCAAGCCCTTTTTCTAACCACCACCATGGTCCAGAAGCCATAGAAAGTACTCAAGGGTCCTAGAGTTCACTCAAACTCCAAGAACAAGAAGATTTGGACCAAAAAGCACATAAAATGACTTAACAATAGATCTAGAGAAGTAATAAGCAAGATAGAAACTCTATACCTCTAAATGGTCAGAAAGGTGATGAAGATGATAGATCTAAGTTGGAAACAAGCACACAAGCAACAAGAGATGCTCCTTCTTCCTTCAACCATCATAAAATAGGCTCTGATATTGTCATATCTATACATATATTTAGGCATTATTTTAATACATTTTAAGTTATATTTTGGTTAATTGCAAAGATATTAGATACTTATTGAGTTGAATTACATTTTGCAGCCAAATAGGACATTCTTGAGGAAAAAGGACCAGAAGTGACGAATACTGGAACCAGGAAGGACTGGAGCTGAATTGGGAGCTTAATGGAGCTTAAAATCTAGCAAAGACACTCCCCACGACTTGGTAATGAAGTAACACGTCATGGTTATTACAAAATCATCGATAGTTTATGTATGAAGGAAACTCACGACATGAGCATCATAGCCTCACGACGTGATAAGTCAAAGGTTCTAGAAGATAGATATGCGGAAGCCAAATTCCTTGCCGAACAAGATTTATATATTCCTCACGACGTGAGATCCTAATCCTCACGACGTGAGGAACGCTTTTAAGGAATCTATATATAGCCTTTGCCATATTCGGTTTGGGAAGGTTGGGAGGATTATTCTGAAGGGTTAGTCGAAGTCAGAAGCCAGAAACCTGTGAGATTCAACTATTGGAGAAAGAATTCAATTGAATTTAAGATATTTGAAGATCCAATCAAGATAACACATTACACATTCTGTTTGATCACGTTTAGCTTTATTCCTATTGTGTTTTTGTGTTTGATTACTGCCATGAGTAGCTAAAATAGTAGACTTTCGTTTAGTTAGATGAAACCTAAAACTATGAGTTAGTTTCTTACTTTTATGGATTATATAAAGTTGGATTAAACTTGTGTTTGATTTTTGATACCTAACATGATAAAGCTTTAATCTTTGTTGCTTATATTCAAGTTAAGTGTAATTGAATGATCAATTTATATTGCATGAAGTTGATTACCTAGTAGTTTAGGAACATTAAATTGCTACAGCTAGGATTCACCAAATCTTAGATTAGGTAATAAAGACATCAACTTTATATGTGTTAGAGAACATATTTTGATCATAATTGTGTTTAGATAAATCTTACATAGCTCACTAATTCTTAATAGTCAATTATGTATTTTCTTGTGTATGATCATTACATAGTAGTTCATGAATTGATAAAAGTATTAGGAGATCTAATCAAGACTGCTATTAATATCTATTGTAGTAACCAACTTTATTAATCCGTAAAAAAGAACTAACCATAGGAAAAAGGTGGATTCAAAACTAAACGAAAGTGCTTTTAATATCTTGATAACAACCGTTCTTAGTTAAGTGTTTGTTTAGTTTTAAGTTAATCTGAACTTGCAAAATCAGATAAAACCCTTTCTTTATATATTGTTTTTAGATTAATCTTTAGTAATTACTTTAATATACTGAATCTGTTCCTTATGTTCGATACCCAACTTATTTTACTATACTATAAACTGACTAGGTACACTGCCTATAGGTGCATTAGTAGATGAGTAGTTAGGTTATAAATTTAAAGCTAGATAGGTATAATCTACCCGTATCAAGTTCTTGGCGTCATTGCCGGGAACGACTATTTCAGTTATTAGTTTAATTGCTTTAGGTTATTCGAATTTTTTTGTGGGGTAAAACCCGCAAAAAGTTAATTTTCCGCATTAGTTAAAATTTTATGAATTTCAGAACTCACGACGTGAGCATAGACTCTCATGACATGAGAACTGCAGTATCAGTCATAGTTTTAGTTCGTTTTTGCACTTTTGTTTCATTTTATTTCAGTAGCATATGACCAAGAGTATACCTTCTGATCTTATACCACCCCTGCAAGACTCGGAATCTGCGTTCCACAAGAAGAAAGATAAGGCAGTCGGTGAATCGGGTAGCAAGTCTCAATCAGATAGATTTACAAGCTTCAAGCGAACTGCCAACAAGAAAGGATTTGGATACGAGCCAGGGACACAGAGAGAATCCAAAGACGAGCCAAAAAACAACATGATGGAGGACATAGCAGATATGTCGATGGCGGAGTACAAGAAAAGGATGCTTGAAAGCAGACCGAGCCTTGTACATCCTACAATTCCAAACACAACCAACTTTGAGCTCAAGGGAAATATCCTTTCCGCGCTAAAAGATATTCCATTCCATGGGAAAGACTATGAAGAAACTTATAAGCATATCGATGAAGTCAATGACATTGCCGATTATTTCAATATTCCGAATGTACCACGAGAAACAGTGTTGTTGAGAATGCTCCCTATTACTTTTAAGGGTGCGGCAAAATACTGGCTAAAGGCACTCCCACCCGGTGCAATAATAACATGGGCACAAATATGTGAAGAGTTCATCCAACAATTTTGCCCACCATCAAAGGCCGCAAAACTTAAAAAGGCTATCGCAAATTTCGATCAAAACGCGGGGGAATCATTGTATGAGGCATGGGAGCGCTATAAGGGATTACTAAGGAATTGTCCCCAAAATGAGCTTAATGAGCAACAAGAAGTATCTATATTCTCTGATGAGGTAAATGTGACGACAAGGCAACACCTTGATTCTCTAGGACCGTTAACAAAGAAGAATTCTGCTACAATTAAAGAGCTAATAGAAGAATTTTCAAAGCATTCAAAGGAATACCATTACCATTGAGAAGACAAGACAAGAGGATACAAGGATGGAAATGGTGCTTTGGAAGAATTGGTTGCGGTATTGGAAAAGTTAGAGACCATGGATCGGCGAATGACGAAGATGGATCAATCCATACACGCAATACGTGTGGGTTGTGACAATGGCAATGGGCCACACTTGAACAAGGATTGCCATTTAGACGAAAACAAGAATAGAAAGGTTCAAGTTTGTTATTCTAGTGGTGATCAATTTGATGAAGATTGGAAAAGGCCAAAGAAAGAATGGTTGCCTTATGAAGAGTATACGAAGCAAAAAGAAGAAAAATATCAGCAAACCGGATGGGGCTTCTATCAAAAAGAA